TGTACCCAGGCAGAATTGCAGAATGGGGCTGTAGCTCCAAGTGATATATTGTGCTTGCTCAGAGATCCATTTGACTGCTCAAACCAAATCACTTAATCCAAATGGATGGAAAATTCATGGAAGAAAATTAAAGGAAATGACTGGCTGCTATCTCCTTATTGCTGTAAATCAATACTCACTTTGTCAATAATGACTCCTTCCTGGGCAGTTGTTTTCTTTATTTGTTTTCTGTTTGCCTTCTTGATGTGTTGATTTTGGAACTTTCTATGTATTATTGTGTAGTTCAAATATAACATAGAGATATACTTTACAAGACCAAAACAATCAGTCAGCATTTGTAAATCCTATTATCAGTGCCTGAAAACAATAATAAAAGTTTGCTTACTTTAAAGGAGGACTAAGTTTGGAAAGAGGAAGAACTATAAAAGAACTAGAAGAGAAAAGGCCAGGTGGACAATCCTTGTAACCCTGCCATAGACTACAAAAATAAAATGCCACTTGATAGAATTAAAATGCAAAACATAATTAATGCAGATGAAAAGAAGTATTTTGCAAGTACTTTGAATTCCTAGTTGTGGAATTCACAGTGTCCTGTAAAATTGCTTACTCAGATGTGAAAAAGATTGGAAATATGAACAAAAACAGTACCTACACGTAGGTTAGCCTAGATAAGTATTGCAAAAGAAATCAGTCCTCTTCCTCCCAGGAACACAATGTGCAGTGTCTAGGATAAAAAAAACAAACATGCTCCATGGTGGTACTAATGTGTATATGTAATTTAGAGGTTTCCATCCTCCTGTGAAACATCTGGGCCAGACTACTTTTAGAGCCAGGATACAATACTAAATGGAAAAAGACTAGAAAAAAATTGGCGAGGAAATTGCTTTATTCCCAAGCAGTCAATTTTACACTGTCCTTATCTTGGCAGGGTTGAGACACTGTAGGAGTCCATTATGACCCAGCACAGCTTCTTCTTTGCCCAATAACCCTCTTAAAATAGGATCACTAAGGAAGAAAAATGACAAAGACTGAAAAGGGAGAAAAAAAGTCAGACAGGTAGCAAGGAATAAAAGATGGGTAAGCAAAATTGCTTTTTGTCTGAGGGTCTGAAAGCTGTTTATAAACTTGAATAAGCCCAGCAAGTAGGTGTTATAATCCCCATTTTATAGGTGGAGAATCTGAAGCATCAAGGAATTTGGTGACTTGGCTAAAGCCACAGGGAAAATTAGTGTCATCGTCGAGCTTACATTTCAGGAGTTCTCACCTCTCAGTCCTGTATTTAGACCACTGGATCATTTCTTTTTTTACTAGTCCATTGTTCTGCAAATGAACATGGGGTGAACAATACAAAGTTTGTCTGTGTAGATAAAGACTGAAGACAACATTTTGAGAGTGCCTAACAGTGACTTGGGATCCTAAATTCTGGTTTCAAAAATGACTTAGGCACTTAGAAGCTGAAGCCTTATCACAGTCATAAAGGACAAATACTGGTAAATGGCCAAGCTATTTTCCAAATAACCGTTTTTTTGCTTCAGAAGCCACAACCAAATATGGGAAAAAATTGGTTTGGGTCAAACTGAGATAATTTGTGATTCCGCCCTCATTGGCACAACTCCCCCCTCCCCAATCCTGTTTTGTTTCAAACAAAATGTTCTTTGCCACCCAAGCTAAGGCATTTAATTTTTGGACCCTTGTGAGAAAAAGCAAAGGAAATGAAGGGTCACATTTAGTAAATTGGTGATAGTATTGTCATTCCTTTAAAGTAATACTTCAATAGGGTTAAGACACTTGGGCTGGATGTGAGAGACCAAGGTAATCACTAGATCTGCCTGAAGGATTTGACCTCATATCTTCTACTTGCAAAGAATGCGCCTGACCACCAAGCTTTAGCATGTTATGGGCTGAGGCACTCTCCGTGTCTCCTGATGAGTTTTCCAGTCTGCATAAAATACTTTAAATATCAGTTGAGCCAGAGCCTGAGAGAAAGTGATTGTATAGGTGGTATGTGGGTCACTCAACTGGAAGGCGTGGTACCAGTCCCTACTCTTCTGTACCTGGCATTATTTCTGTAAAATGGAGCAGCATTAATCAGAGATAAAGAATCATTCTGCCCCGATAAGGCTTGTAGTAGAACATGAAGGCATGCTGGGGGGAGATATGGCTCCAGCTCCTTCAGCAAAAACTGCATTAGAGAAAGGTGCGTATCAAAGACACCCAGCCCCCTGGGCCAGATGTGACAGCAGGGCAAGTGGCAATGGTGTGGTACTTAGCATAGCCGTTGCTCACCCTTTTCCCCCCCACCTACCAACCCAATGGAGACCTGCCCATGCTTGTGCCACCCCCAAATTCCCAGCCCCTCCATGAGCCCCCAGGCTGGGTGAAATGACTCCACTGGCTTATGGGCTGTATCTTTGATACCCCTGGTATCTGATATCCCTCATGAATGAAAAGGAGGTTGAGGGCAGTACCTCCTCCTATGTGAATCTAGTCCTGAATTTTTTTTTTTTTTTGGCATGTGAAGATAACTGGCAAATTCAACCTAAATTTGTGACTGTTTTCAGGATGACTAAAACTGCATTGGGGGGGGATTTGCTATCCTAGCTTTACACCTAAAAAGATACTTTTGCAGACTTTATTGGAGGCAACTACCATACTTACTGAATATAGGACAACCCTCTAATACTTAGATTCTTTATATGGAACATTTACAAATCTGTTATAATTTTCCAGGTATAGAATCTAATTATTGGAGGCCCGCCTTGAATTTGTTCCCCTCCCACTGCTAAAGCAGGGAAAATAAACCTTTAAGGGTGGTGGGGGGAAGGAATCAGATAGCTCCCTAGCCCTCTGCTCCCCCAACTTCTTCTCCTGAAGCCTTTCCCTGCCCCACTCCTTGCTGTCAGCTCCTGCTCTCCCTGAGTACATGGAAGTGAAAAGCAAATTTGAAAGGACTGACTGAAATTACAATGATGATTGCTTACTTCATAAGCATATTGTGAGGATGGTTGCGAAATACTCTCAAGTGTTAAATACAGGGTAAGTGCTAAATGTTATGTAACCTGGAATAAAATTTTGAATGTGATGTAACTGTTCTTATAATAAATATGTAATGAATTTATCATTAGTTTATATTCCCCGACTCAGGATTTGCTTTTTGTTTTGTGTTTGTACAGCACCTAGTATAGTGCAGTCCTGTTCCCAGCTACTATGGCAATTCAAGCAATCAATAATATTGATAATTTCTTGTTAGTCTTCCACAATAAGTCTTATAAGCTGGAGTTCGGTGAAGTATTATTTCAGATTCCCTGATACCCATTTCTATACTTATTTAACACTGGGATAACGACTTTGTAAACATCAGGCATTACAGGTTTTTTGATGTTCCACTTTTATTAAATTAGGATTGATGCTGATTCACAAACTCTTAGGACTGGGCCTAAAATCTGCTGCCATCAATGCATGGGTCTAGTCTCACAGATTTTAAAGCATTTTTCCATTGTTTTGCAATCTTGCACAGATACCTAATGTCACTTTACAGTAAAACAGGACCAAAATACCAGTACTAACTACACAATTCACTGTTTATACATGGATAGCACATCTTGTATTGTTAAGTTCCTAACTAATGTGCTGGCCAAGATACATGCAAGTTTCCTTTTGATGTGGAGATGAATATTTTAATAGCATCTGATAACTAAGAAACACAGTGATATGAAAGAACTTCAGCAAAATGAAGACCCCATCACTTTCTTCAAAAATATATAAGTGGAGCTCTATACTTTCAAAAGGGACTAATGATTTTGGGTGTCCATCACGAGACAACTCAAAAGGCCCAGATTTTTCAAAGGCAGGTGCTCAGCACTTTGTGAAAAGTAGGTTGCTCGATCTAGGCACCCAAAAAGACAGGCCTCCATTGGTCATTTTGTAAAGTTAATGTCTAGGATGGATTTAAGGGAAAGTCAATATAATATGGGCTTCTTTCTGTTCCCTTCTTCCTCTTCTATTTTTTTCTCTCTAGCTTTCTTGTCTTCTCTTCACCCTTTCTGGCATTAAATGGTCTCTATACAGTTCTCTTCTGTCCCCATGTCCTCTCTTCCTCAAAAAATTCTTTGCATTCCCAGGATCCCTGCTTTTCTTCTCACCCTTTGTTTCCCATCTCTTGTTGCTTCTCTCTTTTCCTTAGAAGTCGTCCTCCTCTACTAAACTCTGCAGACTCCTCCCCTCCCAGCAACCCCTTCTTTGCTGTTTTCCAGGTATCCAGTTCCTCCCTCTTCCACAGCAGGATCTCACCAGCTTCTCTTTCTCCCCCAGCCATTCTTAGGTGAAATGGTGCTCTATGCGAGTAGGGGGATGGGTTGGTGAGCAAGCAAGCTGAAGCTAGATTGCTGCTGGCTTTTTCTCTTATCTTCCCTCTTGGCGCTCATGTTACCTCCAAGTTTTGCTGAGACACAGCCAGGATTACAGCAGCTACAAAGAGGAGAAATACTACCTGCTTCTGTAGCAGCAGCTCCAAGAATCCAAAGGTGCGTATTGCTCCAAAAGGAAAAAAACACAGGTCAGAGTGTCCTGATATGAGTGCCTAAAGTTGGGCATTTAAATCTGTATTAGGCACCTAAGCAAAATGCCTGTTTTTAAAGGGTAGGCCTAGTTTACAAGGAATTTGTTAAAACTGAAATCATTACAGCAGTTCAATGTGTATAAAGCTGCTTTGTACCACTTTAAGTATAAAGTGGAATAGCTGTAAATGGATTAAGCACTTTTATGTCTCTGTTACTTTATCCGCATGAAGGGGCATGTACAACGCTGATACAAATTTTGTATTTAGGAAAGGCCTTACTAAAATACCACTTGCCTGATATTTCAAATTGAGGTCAAAAAGTGTCAATAAACCTGAGGGGATGATCTGTTCATGCTGTCTATACCCAGACAGGGCAAGCATTTGTATATACAACCTTTTAGTTGCAATGCTCTGGTACTACAGCTGATTAGGTGCCAAGAGACAGATCTAGCATTTTATTTTACAATAGATTATACATATTCTAGCTGGTGGTACTTGGAGTTTGCTGCAAAAAAATGATGTAGTTTTGGTAACACACAGGTGCATCTGCCCTTTGCCGGGGGTCCTCTGTAAAGGGAGATGCTGCTTTTCACCCTGGAGGAAAAAGTATATTGAAACAAAAGAGGTTAGTAAGTGTTTTGCCTGGCAGGGATTTTTTTTTTTACACAGGTTTTTGCCTCAGAATTCTACCACATTGTACATGTATAAGGCAGATGCATAATTCAGCAGAGTGTATCTAAATTCACTGTGGAACAGCTTACATGGCACAGCATGGGAACTTTGAGAGAGGAAGAAGTGGATACTAGGGACGATGTAGGATGCGAGTATCTATTTGTATAGATGCCAACAATTATGGGCCAAAGAGAGTTAATTCCTAGGGGTCACTTTGTAGATAAGTGACCATCTCTAGGCAGGAAGGGAATACTAGTTCAGGAGGAGCCACAAGTCCTGCTTGAAATGCACAAAAGAGAAGCCTGCTTTAGCAGCAGCTTACGCAGAACACACGAGCTCTGCCTACTCCTGGCTTCACTTCTCTTACACAGCTTATAAACTCTGCATGCCTCTGCTTTGAAGCTCTCATTAGAAAATCTACAAACTCCTTAGGAATAAAACTCCAGGACATAGCAAGCATGCTATGCTACTACCCAGCTGGGGAAAAGACTAAAGATGCCCAGTGATAACTATAAAGGAAGAGAGAAACCTCCCACAGCTCCCCACTACTCTTATCGCATAAACAGTAAAATGACTGAGGCAATATATCAATTGAACTATTCCCAAATGTCATAATTGTGTGAAGTGATGTGGCTCTGAAACCTGGACGGAGAGATGAGTGAGCACCCAGACTAGCATGCTTCATAGTGGGCAAGCGGAGGAGGGAATGTTTGCCCCACACTTCCGTGGTCCCAGGGAGCAGGTGACTTGTGCTGGGAGTATTTTCATTTTTCTGCTTTCGGTTCTCTCCTAAACAGCAGTTCAGTAAGTCAGTAGCCTGAACTTGACTGAACTCTGCAGTGTGCTTACCTGACCATGGGTGACCAAGGAAGAGGGGAAGTGCTTGAACATACATTTCCAGGTTCCAGGGACTGGGATGTGGTGGGAGGGCATTATGAGGAGGCATAATTGAGTAGGGATTGAGGACACAGCTAGCTATTAGAAAGAAAGCTTGTATGGAACAAGCAGTGAAAGGGAGCTCATTAAGCAACAGTGCCGACAAAGAGGGGGGAAAGGGTGGTAGGGTTCTGGCTGTGTACCAGAGTGGCCAGTTTCGGCAGCAGGGGTGGTGGTTGAGGTGAAAAGTGATGCAGCGTAGGATGCCTGGAAGACTGACCAGACATATATCATGAATTATTTGGTGTCCGTAAGTAACACTGAACCAGTTCACAGCGAATCAGTTCAAAATAGTACTTGATTTCCCAGGTACACTTTTGAACCATTCCAGGCAGCTTTAAGTTGGTTTTACAGGTCTGTACACCTCAGGTTTTAGCTGAACTGAAATCTAAGTGTTACATGCGTTCATACCCTGAGACCTCATCCCAAACCAATTTCTTGCCAATGTGACGTAAAGGGGTTACTGCACACCTAGTCCTGAGAAAACCTGTGAGGCCCTAGCAAGGATGGGAATTAAAAAGAACAAGTACCTAACAACATTAATCAAAAGGGATTAATCTGCACCTCTAAGCAAGGTTATAGCTCATGAACTTGGGTGACTTACTGCAGCAGCCCTCAACACAGCCCTGGAGAGAGTTTTGGGACCTACTGGGCACATCTACATGAGACGCTAAAGGTTCAGTAGACTAATTCTACTGCACAGTAGCATGGTCGGCAAAACCCATGCTAATGCAGTAGAATTAGTCTACTGTACATTAGTGTCAGAAAAAAGCGTGTGCCGGCGCTACTGCACAGTAGTGCCGATTATGGCACATTAAGTTAGTACCTGTAATTACAGGTACTAAAACTTAATGCACTGTAATTACAGCACATTAATGAATGTGTAGATGCGCCCGCTGTCTCTTAGTATAAAGGGAAAAGGCAGCTTAGACCTCTTAAACTGCCCAGATGCTATAGGAAGAGGGGGACATATAAGTACCTACATGAATAGAATAAAATCAGACAAGGTACAAGTGCAATCAATTTAACAAGTTTTGAGTGTATTATAAAACAGTGTCACACTGTGAGGTACTAACAGTGAAAGCTACTGATTACTGGCTCTTACTTCTTATTCCTCCGTGCCTGGAGTAGTACTTAGGTTGTGAAAGTAAACTGTTCCTGTTCTGTGATGCTGGCTTCAGGCCTTCCATAGATAAATTTCTTTTCACGCTCCAAATGCCTTCCAGAGCCACTGTTAATAATTTGTTAAAATAATGCCATTAAGCACTGATTGCTTTAGCTTGGTTTCTTTTATTTTCACCTATTGTGGTATCAAAGGATTAATATAACTTAAAAATATCTTGTATCTACCTAGTACTGTAACTAGAATCAACAAATCTTAATAGAAACAGGTAATCACAACAAAATGTTGTAGCACCATACATTAAACTTAATATGCTTTATTTTTCTAATGTTTTGGACTGACAGATACTGAAAGGCATTATTCTCTGACAGATATGCAATTCAAAACACAATTGTTAATTTTCCCAGCAGCTTCCAAAATTATTCTGTTCAGATGGTTTTATTTTTCCCAGTCATATACCTCATCATTAATGCTTTGTTCAGTTTTGGTCATACTGTCTCAATTAAAAAATAGGAGATACGGAACAGGTCCAATTGAAGGGCAAGGGAAATAGAAAGACTTCCACATAAGGAAAAGTTAAGTTATATGTCTATATAATTCATGGTTTAAAAAGCAATTGCCTGGTAGGAATAACTCAAATAATGGGTGTTGTGAAGATCCTTGGTTGGGTGATCCTTATTTAAGAACAGTGGGATTCCCCTCAATGGAATTGCAAGAAAACAAATTTGAATCTGATCAAAGAAAATGCTTATTACAAAATGTGCAGTCAGCACAACTCACTGCCACAACATTTCATTCAGATGGAGTCAGATACAAAAAAGGACTTAGGAAGAATTGAGGTCCCTAAGTTCAAAACTGTGATCCAACATTCTCCTCATTGACCTCCAGGTGCCTGAATTCACTAAGGCTGCTTAGACGTGAACCCCCCGCCCCCCAGCACTTTACTTTAAACTCGGTGCCCTTGCACCGAGCACAGCACATGCCCAGAAGAAGCATCGTGTTAGTTTGTCCCAGCTCACTCAATGTAATTACAGCACATTTATGAATGAATCAGGAAGGCTAATCACACCTTGTAGGAAGGCTAATTGCACTTTGTCATGCATCCACAGATGCATCTCGAGCAGGTCCAAGGAGGTGATCCTCCCCCTCTATGCGACACTGGTCAGGCCGCAGTTGGAGTACTGCATCCAGTTCTGGGTGCCGCACTTCAGGAGGGATGTGGCCGGCATGGAGAGGGTTCAAAGGAGGGCCACCCACATGATCCAGGGACAGCAGGGCAGGCCCTATGAGGAGAGGCTACAGGACCTGAACCTGTTCAGCTTCCACAAGAGAAGGCTGAGGGGGGATCTAGTGGCTGCCTATAAACTGGCCAAGGGAGACCCGCAGGCAATGGGGGGGTCCCTGTTCCCCCGAGCACTACTGGGAGTAACAAGGAATAATGGCCATAAATTGACTGAGAGTAGATTAGGCTAGATATCAGGAGGCGCTACTTCACTGTCAGGGCAGCCAGGATCTGGAACCAACTTCCAAGAGAAGTGGTGCTCGCTCCTACACTGGGGGTCTTTAAAAGGAGGCTAGATAGATACCTGGCTGGGGTCATTTGACCCCAGTTCTCTTTCCTGCCATGGCAGGGGGTTGGGCTTGATGATCTGCTCAGGTCCCTTCCGACCCGACCAACTATGAAACTATGAAATGTCTGTACATATCACGCGTTTCAGCGGGGCTTTTTGGTGTCTTCATCTAATAGCTGGTTCAACTGAATCAGCTATTAGATAAAAGCTCCAAAAAGCCTACTGAGGCGCCCAGTCAATAAACACTGGGGAGTCAGGTCGAACTAATGCACTTCCTCTTCGGTAAAGTGCTCTTTTGTTTTGTGTGTTTTTTTCACGTCTGTCAGCAGCCAGAGTGCTTCCCTGTATTTGGCTTGAAAATTGCAGAGGTACATATAGGCCCATACCTGTAGCTTTGCTTTGGCTCAAAACTGTTGTGGCAGAGCAGCTAGACACCTAGCTCCCACCTCAGCACTACTAGGATCCAAAAACTAGAGAGCAACTAAGTTCCTTGAGGGCCCTCCACATGCTTGTAGCACATCTACACACCAATAGGATTGGGCCCCTTAAAAAAGGCTGTTGTAGCTGCTTGCTTCTGATCTGGCAGAGAGTGGTGCCAACTTTTAAAAAACAGTCTATTGATTAGAAAATCCACCCAGGAAGGGTAAGACCTGAGCTCAGTGCCTTCTTCAGGTTGAGGGGGTTCAAATCCATATTTCCCACCTGCCAGGAGAGTGCCTGTAGCAGGACAGGCCCACAGGGGGACCCCTTGGCACCCCTTGGTGGTGAAAACAATCTTGCATCATGATAACTCCTCAGGGTAACCTCCTTGGTGCCCTTCCTGCCATGTCTCGATGGAAATTGTATTTTCTGCTGGCACACTGTTCCTGAAAGTCCCCGAGTACGCTCACTGGACCTGCTCTTGGCCTATCTTAACCTGATTTGCTGGCCCCCTCAGTCCTAGTCACAGCAATGGAGCCAAAATCCACTACCCCACACTATGCCATTGGCATCTATGTCTCACAAACTGACCAGGCCCTGCTAGCCTATCAGTTCCTGTGGGCACTAACTCCTTAGGTGCATTAATTATAGTTTCCACCTGCCGCTATAGTCATGCCCATGTCCATTCACTGGGTTTTCTGGCCCTGTCTGTCACCTCATTCTACTTGCCAGGCCCCTGGCCCTGACACAGGTTCGGCAGCCCATAAGGTCCCTGAACTTTACAGGGCTGCTCTCTCCCTCTAGCTTTGGCCCACTGGGGCCCTGACCCTGAATGGACTGATCTCTCTGTATAGCTCTCACAATGGGCCCTCAGCCCTGTTTCAGCTTCAGCCTCTGCAACTCTTCAGGTCCCTGACCCACAACCACCCATAGTGCCTCCCAGGCACCCCTTATGGTCTCCAATACACCCCTATTGTCCAATCTAAACCTTAGGTTAAAATGAAACATAAGACATCAACCAGGTGATTTCCATCCTATTACTGTGTAGATGTGGTACAAGCATAAGTAGGACACTTGAGGAACCTTGTTGTTCTCTAGTTTTTGGATCCCGGTGGGGTTCAGGTGGAAGCCAGGTGTCTAGCTGCTTGATCATGGCAGCTTTAGTAGCGAGAAGAACAAAAGTGACTCTCTAAAGAGACTGCGGGACAACTGAATTAACAGGATATTTTACTACCCCAGAAGGGTGACACAAAAGAAACTGGAAATTTGTCATCATCCTATTTGCATAGCCCACTGATTTTATCATCAAGGTAAAATCTACTCTTTGTAATGGAGTTCAGCCAAGCAAAAGATAAGTAAAAGTTTTGAACCTGAGTCTTCAAAACAAGTCAACTGCATGTGATAAACTAACTCAGAGTAAATCAAACAAGCTACACATTTTCTGACACTCCTGAGTTTTTCAATTCAGTGGAGAAGGGCAGCATATCATGAACTCTGCATGATGGGTACAAACAGGTTACATTCCTGAACTCCTGCTGGCTGCAAAAATGAGGCTGCAGCTGCTTGTTCTCTTTTTATATTCTGTACAGGACTGAGCCCTGGAAAAATAATCATACACCAAGGATAACAAAAGGATGGAGGGAGGGAAGTAACTAAGGGACAATAACACTGCAAAACTCAATCTGACCTTTCAGTCACATGCCTCCTTGAGATTATGTTAGAGGGTGAAATTCTAACAGATGGCTAAAACACTTTGTTTGACATTGCCACATTCTTTATATTTCCGAGTTTAGCTTAGGAAGTTACTGAACTAAACACTAGGTCTAGATCCTACTCTGTCTACTAGTTATTGAAGGATTTATATTCCACTCACCCCAAAAATACATCACTAGGTCACAAGAGTGATCCTATTCCACCTGAGCGCAATAGAGTTTTTTGTGCTCTCAGTGACCACCTGGTGCACCTCCAGAGGCAGATACTGTTCTACTCATGGCAACACACCGCTCTCTCTTTTCTCAGTGGGCAGCCTTAGGTGACTATATCTTGTTGGAATCCGTCTGGATCTTGCTTCATAGAACAGGGAGATCAACTGAACCAGCACATCTCACAGACAACAGCACTTTTTGAAAAGTAAAGGGAGGAGGACTAGTGGTTGCAGCACTTACCCAGGAACTGGAGGACCTGGGTTACCCTGGGGCGACCTAGGCCTACTTTACCCTGGTAAGTCAGTTGTGGTGAGCGGAGGGGAGAAGGAAGGGGCGTTGTGGGGGGGGG